CTTTCCCACCAAAAGTTCCTCCAGCTTTTAGCCTGGAGACATCCCCACTGAACTTGATTTTCTGAGCTCATCCCTGTTCTCAACTAGCTCCAGCTGTGCACCCAAGCTGGTCCTGCTCTCTCAGGACCTCAGAGTCTGCAGCAGTCACGTGGCTGCTTAAGTATGTGTGGCAGAGGGTTAGGAGTGATGGCTGACAGCCCAGGAATCTCACTGCTCCCTACAAAACTTTTAAACTGATCTTCAGGTTTTGAGTCCCATTCCACACTCCCCTAGTGGCTCCGTTTGCTGAGGCCTTCCAGGGAGCCATGGTACAAACCAACCAGCTTCCTGGTGGAGACCTCACACTGCAGATTTGGGTTTTACTTTCTCAGCTCTCCCATTTAGCTATCAACAATTAAACTCTGATTAACATCTCCCTTGTGCTCCTTCTCCTCTTCCATTCCTTCATCATGGAGGGTCTACACTTTTTTATACTTTATTGCCATTTTAAGAGATTTGAGGAAGGAATGAAAATCAACACTTGCTAATCCAAATACTTAACTAGAAGTCCCTGTGGTGATGAATTTCACATTTCTGAGCAGCATAATCCCATCCTTTATTCCAGATGAAATCTTACACAGAACCATAATACATGAAAACAGAACCGTGGAGGGAGGCCCACTCAGCCCTTCTGCTGTCTTTGGTTCTGGCAGACATCTCCACCAAAGCCTAGACTGGACACATTTGAAATCTTTGTTTCACACAAACCTTCCACTCCAGCAAAACTACTCCATGGAGCAGTCCCTACACACAGCTTTTACCTGCCCATGTGTCTACACTGTTCCCCCCCCCCCCGCAACCTGGAACTCGTCCCTCTTCTCATGTGAAATCCAGACTTTCCTGAAAGACTGAGTTAGATCCACTTCCTGCTGGGAGGCCATCCACAACCCTGTGGCTCTACAGTGGTCCTCTCCCCGCTCACCAGTGGTCTAAGCACCATCTCAGAGTCACACAGGAGTAAGTCACCGCATTCATCCTTAGCTACCAGGTCCTGGATACAATGACTGAGCCTCCTACAGGTTTCCCATGGGTTTGACATAAGAGGACGTCCATGATAATGTGAATCCTTCGGTCAATCTCGCTCCTTGGTGATCAAGGTCTGCTGAAGAATGGCCCCATGGGTAGCTCCAGAATTGCTCTCACCACTTTAATAGTTCCCTGGGATAGGACTTTCTCCACTAATTAGCTACGAATGCTTAGGCTTTCAATCATTCTGTTCTCTCTGCATTCCCAACTATTACAGAGCAGAAATAAAAGTCAGGGGCTCAAAGCTCTTTGCTTAAAACTCAAGAAGAATTCATAGGCTCAGCTGGTTGTAAAGCTTGGCCACCTCCTAGGAAAACATTAAAAAAAAAAAACTCTAATTGTCGTGGAGTTACTTCCAATTCATAGTTCACCCTATAGGACACAGCAGAACTGTCCCATAAGGTTTCCAAGATTGAAAATCTTCATGGATCCTGCAAAGTGGCTGGACGTTTAAACTGCCGACCTTCTGGTTAGCAGCTGAGTGCTAACCACTGCACCTTCACGGCTCCTTGTAAACTCTCCTAGAAATAAGAAAGCTTGATCTAGTGTCCAACCTTAAAACGTAAAAAAGAGTAATTCCTTAGCTATCTTTAGAAGATGAGTATCTTTACTTAGATTCTATCCAAATGCTCACTAGAACCAGCCTATATAACTTATATACCAGAGAGGTTAAAAGGTAGCAACCGAGAAACACATAGTTACTGCTGCCTTTAAACATACATGTTGTAAATATATAAAGTACAGGTGTACGATATGCACTGTTAAAAGTCAGTATTTAAACACAGTGCGCAAAAACAATGTTCTACATCCTACTTTGGTGAATAGTGACTAGGGTCTTAAAAGCTTATGAGTGGCCATATAAGGTGCAACTATTGGTCTCTCCTCATCCAGAGAAGAGTGAAAAAAAATCAAAGAAAACAATTAGTCCAAAGGAAACAATCCAAAGGACTAATGGAGCACATGAACCCCAAACTCTATGACCCTAAGACCAGAAGAACTAGATGGTGCCCCGCTACCACAGCTCACTGCTCTGAAAGGGATCACAGTAAGAGGTCCCAGATAGAGTGGGGGAAAATGTAAAACAAAACTCAAAATCATAAAAAAGACCAGACTTACTGGTCTGCAGAAGACTGGTGGAACCCCAACACTATGGCCCTTAGACATCCTTCAAGCTAGGAACCGAACAGAACCCCCATGACTCAAATGACAGTCAAATACACAGGCCTATAGGTGATAAGTAATATCACGAGGGTACACACTCATTAGAACAATCAAGCAAATGAGATCAAGAGGACAGCACAAGCCCAGTTAGAGAGCTAAGAGGGAACAAAGAGAAAGTTTATTTCATAAACTTTCATCCAAATCACAATTTAAAATATTTTTAAAAAGTCAGTGTTTATGACAAGGGACAAGGTTGTAATCACTTCTTGGTCACAATCAGCTACCCAGAGAGAACGAGTAGTTGAACCTGTGGGCCCGGGATCATAGTCACAGGGGACATCAAGCTCAATTGGCATTACATACTACACAAAACATTGTTCCACCTCTTACTTTGGCGAGTAGTAACTGAGATCTTAAAAGCTTGCAAGCAGCCATCTAGATGCAACAATGGGTCTCTCCTCATCCAGAGCAAAGAAGAATGAAGAAAACCAAAAGTCATGGAAAGAATTAGTCCTCATGACCGGTACACAATGCAATCCTCAGCCTATACAACTATGACACCAGAAGAACTAGATGGTGCCCGGCTACCACTGTGATCTATGGAGGAGATCCTTGATAGAGAGGGAGAACAATGTGCAACAAAACTCAAAATCATTTGGGAAAAAAAAAAAAAGGGGACCAGGTTTGCTGGTCTGATAGAGCCTGGTGGAACCACTGAGACTATGACCCCTAGCTGCCCTTCAGGTCTAGAACTGAACCCATACCTGTGGCTTCCAGACAAACAAAAGACAGGCATATGAGTTAAACATTTACCTGAGGTAGATATACTCCTTGGAGAGAACAATCATGGCATAAAGAGGATCTTTTTATGCACAGGGAGACAGTTCAGGAGGCAGGAGTGCATGGAGGGATGGACACAGGGAAGAAGTAACTACTGGGAGGAAGTGGGAGGGGAGCTGTTGCATTGGGGTAAATTGTAGTCAATGTCATGAGACAATGTGTGTGTGAACTGCTGTATGGAAAGTGAATTTGCTCTGTAAATTTTCACCCAAATCACAATTTAAAAAAAAGATTCTCAGTGACAGAGAGAAAAGGAGTGAGGGTACAGTGGAGAAAAAAAAAAAAAGTCAATGTTTAATTTGTAACACACTTGGGGCAATGTGAACAGTGACTAGGTATGAATGATATTAAGGAAATACTGGAAATGACATTGTGATTTTATTTTTAGTAAGAGAACATTTTTAAAAATATATACTGAACTATTTGTGGATAAATGCACATAATGTCTAGGATTTTGCTTCATAATAATAGAGATTAAGAAATGGGAGGTGGGTGAGAGTTACAGATCAGGAGTTGTCAATTTTTTCTGCAGCAGTCACAATTAGGCTTTGCAGACTATATAGTCTCTGTCACGATTGCTCAGCCCTGCCACTGTACAGCAAAAACAGCCACACATAATGAGTAAACAGATGAGTGTAGCTACGTTCAATAAAACTTTATTGAAAAAAAGATGGAGGGCCAGGCTGCCCACAGGCTGTAGTCTGCCAACCCCTGGTATAAATGAATTAAGAATGGCCATGAGTTGATAATTATTGAAGTTGAATGAGCACACAGGGGTTCACTATACTATTCTCTCTAGTTTTGTGTATGTTTGACGTTTTCGATAATAAAATGTTCAAAAATGTTTTTAAGAAGTCAGTATTTAACTTTGGTAACTTAACTTGTCTTCAAGCCAAAGCAGAAAAAAGAGTGAAGACTAATGATGACAGATTATGAGTTTCATTCCCAGAAGGTTAAAGAAAAAGAAGAAAACAAGCATCCTACTGGAAAACTGAAGCTGGAAGAAGCCCATCCATGGAAATTTGTGGGACCAGAAGGTGAGGCAGCATTTGCCAGGTGCACATGTGACAGATGAACTGAACAGAGCACACAGGCTCTCTCCACACTCACTACCGCTGACATCCTTTCCCTTTGCAAACTTAGGAGGGCAAGCGTTCACATTTTATGCAGGAGCCCTGTGGGGCTGCTTTACCGAGAAGTGGTTCTTTCCTACAAGCAGAATACATTCCCTTGTGAAAGCTCTCAGGACTGGGAGACACATGTGGAAAGAACTTTCTGTCCCTGGCAGACAGGGAACCAAGCCTTTTCCTTAAACTTGGACAGTCTTCCTTCACTTGGAAGCCTCACTCATCCTCTGGTTTTGGAGGACTTAACTCCCTCTCACAAAGCCCAGCTTATGGTGAAGACGCTGCCTTCAGGAATAGGTTGGGCACAGGACACTGGGAAATGCATCAACACTCTATCTCAGCTTCTCTCTGCCCTTGTTTCCCAGAGAGGCTCCAGAAACTCTAGCATGCTCTGAGAAGTGAAAGCAGAACTAAGTAAGTGAATAGGAAAATCATCCAAGAGACTCGGGATAAATGTCACTGTAGTTTGCTGGTTCTGCTAAAAAGGACTGAAAACCTGGCCACAAGAGGGGTATCTCTGTGGGATGAAATGACTGGCAGCATCAAGACACCAATGGCCCAGGGGTCTTCCAGCTCTTCCTCCTCCAGTACACCACACTGTGGTAAATCTGCATACCACTTATTAAAGACCATGGCCTTCAAGTCATGGACCAGAAACCCATGGGGAGAAGGGAAAAACAAAGAGAGAAGAAAGAATGTAGAAGGGAAGACTGTGGGAGGGAAACAAGTAGACGGATATGGTGGCAAGTAGTGGGCAAGAAGTCGGATGACCCCACAGTGCCAGAGGCTCATCCATCCATGCCTTACCCTGGAGGAAGAGGCCGTTCCCAGGTGGTAGTCTTGGTATTGTGGTCGACATAATAGACACGCCCATTGGGCAGCTCTCGCTGCTCCCATCTGAAAAATAAAGTTAAAAGAAGCATGAGTCAGAGGGTAAAAGTCCTGTTAGCAAAAGGAGCCATTCACCATGATATGACTAATTTTAAAGGAAGCATCAAAGACGAAATGTAGGATTGACCCAGGAGTAGAGCTAGCTCCATGCTGTCCTTGACAATGACACCAAGGAGTACTTTTTGAGGAAACTAACAGTTCCCTTTATGGCATCAATGCCGTATGATATGCCACGGATGGCTCTAAAGTTCCCTAAACAATCTAGATGGACCTAAAGCCCATGGAGTTTTCTACATCAGGGTTTACTGGCCATTTAGGGATCAAAGACCTCTTTGGGAGAGTAAAGAAAGCCAAAGACCCTTTCCCTCCAAAAGGTACTTACCAAAAAACACTCATATGCAATTCGAGGGGTTCATGGACCTCTCCTTTTTTTTCTGGGCTCTCCAGCTTTTTAAGCCTACCCACCATACCAAAAAACCAAACCCAATGTTACTGAGTCAATTCCAACCCAGAGTGACTTTACAGGACAGAGCAGAACTGCCCAATAGGGTTTCCAAGGGTATAATCTTTACAGAAGCTGAAAGGGGCTGAAAACCTGGCCACGACAGGGGTATCTCTGCTGGATGAAATGATTGGCAGCATCAAGACACCAATGGGCTAGTGACAACAATCTCCCAGAACAGCTGGTGGCTTCAAACCACCTACCTTTCGTTTAGCAGCCAAGCACTTTAACCACCGCACCACCAGGGCTCCTTTTAGCCTACGCCACCTCTTCAAGCAAGAAAGTACATGCCTACTCTTGTTCTCCTAGTAGCATATATATTCATGATCATGCTTATTTTTCAAACACAGAATTCATTCAAAGAGAGGTCTTTACCAAAGAGACCTAGGTGAGTCAAGTAACATAGCATACTGGTACTCCTAGACTACTCAACCCATTAAATTAAGTTCATGTGACACTGGGGTGGTGAGGGTGGCACTCCTGATGAAACCATCTGTGCTAAGGAAGGACAAGGAGGTAGCAGATGGTCCAAAGATATCATCCACAATCACCACAAAACACAGCCAACCACCACCCCATTCCCACACTCCCATTTTTTGTATACTCAACACAGTGTGACAGTAACTCCACTTACCTAGAACATATAATCTATATATAAATTATACAAACATTTAAACATATATATGTATATAAAGCACGTGACTTTATAAAGATGCTAATGGTTCCGATTGCCTGTATATTTTATGTTGAGATTCGTTTGTTTGTTTGTTTGTTTATTTCTTTTGGTGCTTTGGGTGCAAATTTACAAAGCAAATTTGTTTTACATTCAGCAGCTCATGCTCATTTGATTCCACAGTCCTGATTAACATCCCCCAACCATGAAAAACTCTCCTCCCCTCCTCTCCTGGCAACCACCCTCTCCCTGTGCCCATCTTAACTCTGCATTCCTGTCTGTCCAACTTTCCCTCTGGGTGAATGCTGCCCCTCTGGTGTTCTCATGGCTGATTGACCTAAGGGGTGCATCTCCCTAGGTACATCACCCTGAGGTAGATGTTCTTTGTGTAGGTCTTTCTACTGTTGGGCTGAGAGCCAATCCATGGAAGTGAGTCCATTTCTAAGCCCAAAGGGTAACCCAGGGCTACAGTCTTGGGGGTTCCCCCCCCCCCAAGTTTTTATCCAACCATTAATTCTGGTCATTTTTGTGTTTTTATAATTTTTTTTCCACATTTTCCCTCCCATTCTATCCAGGATCTCCAATTCTGATCCCTTTCCAAGTGCTTAGCATTGGTAGCTGGGCACCATCTAGTTTTTCTGGTGTCGGGGTCATGAAGGCTGAGGTCCTCTCGGTCCATCTTATCCTTGGACTAATTGTTTCCAGATGCCTTTGATTTTCTTCATCCTTCTTTGTTTCAGATGAGAGAAGACCAACAGTTGCATCTTAGATGGCTGCTCGAAAGCTTTTAAGACCCCAGTCACACCTTACCAAAATAGGTTGTAGAACAAGATTTTTATGTACTGTGTTATACCAATTGAGCATACTGCCCCCCCAAGACTACAGTCCCAAGTCCGTAGGCCCAGTGATTCTCTCTCTCAAGGTGTTTGGTTGTCTCTGAGAAGTTACTCCAATTCTGTCTTTTGTTGCTTCTGTAATGTATGTGGCTAATTTAGTAGCACAAGTGTATATGTAAGATTATTTTGAGCGAAATCTATCCTTGGTCTAGGGTATATTCCTGTTTGCCTACCCCAACCTGATCTTCTCACCTGTCTATGCATTTATGCATAGCCTGGTGTTTGGTGTTAGTGGTAATGCAGTATTGTGCATGTAATAGTATTTGCCTAAAAAAAAAAAAAAAAAATTGTATTTGCCTCAGTTGTCTAGATCTTATGTGCATATTTCAGTGTCCTTCCTTTCCCCAATGTCATTATGCTGGTCATAGACTCTTTCCATACTGTCCCTCCCCTCACCCAAAACAACATGTGACCCCCAACTAGTCTGACATTTTCCCTCCCGTCCCTGGTAAGCAACAAAGTGAATTTCCTTCCCTGAGTAAACCTTTTGTTGACTTTTTATAATAATGGGCTCATACAATATTTCTCCTTCTGTTATTGACTTGTCTCATTCAACATAATGTCCTCCAAATTCATCCACATTGTAACATGATTCTTGTATTCTACACTATTCTTTAATGTTGCATAATATTCCCCTGTGTGAATGCACCATAGTTTGGTTATCCATTCATCTGCTGATGGGCATTTAGGTTGTTTCCATCTCTTTGCTATAGTGAATTGTGCTGCAATGCACATGGGTGTGCATATGTCTATTCATTTCCAGTCTCTCACCACTTTAGGATAAATGGAAGTGCTGGAACAAATGGCATTTCTATTTTCAGTTTCTTAAGGCAACACCATACTACTTTTCCATAATGGCTGTAACATTATGCAGTCCCACCAGCAGTGTATGAGAGTTCCAATCTCTCTACAACCTCGCCAGCATTTGTTATTTTCTGTCTTGTTGAACTTTGCTACTAGTGCTGGGGTGAGATGATACATCATTGTTGTTTTTGTTTTTAATTTTTTATTGTGATTTGAGTGGAAGTTTACAGACCAGATTCATTTTCCACACAGCAGTTCATATACACTTTATTGCATGACATTGACTGCAATTTCCTGCAATGTAACAGCTCTCTTCCTACTTCCTCCCCATAGTTACTTCATCCTTGTCCTTCCCTCCCATGCACTTCCACCCCCTGAGCGGTCTCCCTGTGCATACACTGCCCTTCTGTTCTCCCATGACTGATCTCTCCAAGGAGTGTATCCACCTGATGTAAGTGTTCAGCCCATATGCCAGTCTTTTATTGGGCTGGAAGCCACAGGAGTTGAGTTCAATTCCAGACGTGAAGGGCAGCTAGGGACCATAGTCTCAGGGGTTTCACCCGATTCTATCAAATCAGCCAATCTGTTCTTTTTTTAAAAAAAAAAAATATAATCTTGAGTTTTGTTCCACATTGTTCTCCCACTCTATCCAGGATCTCCTACTCAGATCCCCCTCCGAGTGGTTGACAGTGGTAGCCAGGCACCATGTAGTTCTATGGTGTACCAGTCACTTGGACTAATTGGTTCCATGCATCTTTGGTTTTCTTCATTCTTCTTTGCTCTGGATGAAGGAGAGATCCATCTTTGCATCTAGATGGCTCCTTGCAAACTTTTAAGATCCCAGTCACTACTTACCAAAGTAAGAGGAGGAGCAATGTTTTTGTGTAGTATGTTATGCCAACTGAGTTTGATGTCACCTGCGACCATGGTCCCAAGCCCACAAGTCCAACTACTCACTCCCTCTTGTAGCTGACTGTGGCCAAGAAGTCACCATAACCTTGTCCCTTGTCAGCTCAAATATATACCTGGACAATTACAGAACATACAAACAGGCTTACAGAAACATCGTCTGCCAACCCTATACATGGTCATGGGCACACTCTTCCCTGCCTAGACATACCTGATCGTTCAGCTTGTCTATCCATCTGTTCACCTGGAGATCCATGTTTGCCATCACTGACAACACAGTACTGTATGTGCAAAAGGGTTTATCTTTGTTGTCTGTACCTCCCATGCACCTCTCTATGTCTCCCTCTTCCTGAATGCCACTGTGTTAATCACTCATGTTTGGTGCATTGTCCATCCTTTCACCCAAATCAATACTTAATCTCTACCTACCTAGCAGCGTTCCCCCAGCTCCACCCCTGGTAACCAACCAAGAAATCTTCCTTCCATATATAAACCTTTCCTTGACTTCTCACGATAGCAGACTGTGGTGGTTAGGTTTTTGTGTCAGCTTGGCTGGGCCTGGTTGAATGGCTGGGCAGCCGGTGATAGTTATTCCCCATGATGAGACTGGCAATCAACTCTGTGGTGGGATCTACCACAAGCAGCTGAGTAGCTGCCTTTGGGATATAGTCTGTTTCCTGTATTTAAGGAGAAGCCTTGGGAATGGTCTCTAGCCTAGGGCAAGCTTGGACCCTGCACGTAGCTGTGTCGTTGCTCAGCAGCCTGCGATGCTTTGCCGACCTTGGGACTTACAATGGACTTAAGTAAATGGCCTGCCGTGTGGTTTGGTAACATCAGGACTGTGTCTTTTTACTTGTCAACCTTGGGGCTTCTCAGCCTCAGCAGCCAGCAGCTGTCTGAGTGAAGAAACACCTCTAGCTCCAGTGGGCCAGGAGCAGGAAGCAGAGCTGGACCCCAAGGTTGAGGGGCTTTCACCCAGCCCCGAGAGCCCGGCACTGTAAACTTGGACTTAAATCCTCCAAATTGTAAGAATAAACTCCTGTTTGTTAAGGCCATCCCATTTGTGGTATATTCTTGTCAGAGCAGTGCTAGGTAACCAGAACATGGACTAATACAATATTTGTCCTTCTGTGATTGATTGATTTCACTCAGCATAATGTCATCTAAGTTCAACCACGTTATGCGGTGTTTTGCAGAATCTACATTTTTCTTTAGGGTTGCA